TAGGTAGGTAGGTAGGTATGTAGGTATGTACTTATGTATGTACCTATGTACGTATGTTTGTATATATATATACATTCAGATCAGTAGACTGCAGCACCGCTCACCCCTTTTTCACCGTTCGCTAAGGGGAGCTGAACTCTTATGAGTCATCAGAAGCACTCTTCCGATTTGCGTTGGTTCGTACTCCTAGGACCACTAGAGGGTGAACTCCTTTCACCGGCACGAAGAGAACTCTCAACACCCGCTCTCTCGAGCCTACAGCTCCAGAGCCTACAGGAGGATCCTGTGGACTTAACCGGTTAAGACCGTGACCTCTCCGGTGCGCGGTGTTCGAGAATAAGAGAGGGCGCTGAGAACCCTCGGCTGAGTCGCAGCCAGTTGATCTGGGGAGTGGCTCCGCAGATTTCAGGTTGCCACAGTCTGTTCAGAATACCGGTTTGAGCGATCTGAATTTGCTGGCAGATAGTTGGTCGTATATGAGTCTCAGCCGAATGACAGCCAGCCTGAAAAGCCTGGCTTTTTTGCTCTTTTGTCAGGACCTCGTTTTCCCTTGTCGTTAGCTTTTCAATGGGCCGGTTGGAGAGTGCTGCAATCCGATTGACAGTGCGTTTGACGTTACTACATCCAGAGTCCAGCATGCCATTGCCCGTTTACTTCCGAAAGTGCATGTTTCTTCGCGCCATGGATTGTTCCATCAAGAGCCGAATTCGTGAAATCCCTCTCCCAGGTCAAGCGGCCGCGCCCAAGCCGCTGCGGTCCACTGCTGCCCCCCACTTCGAGGCCTGTCCGATCAAGCCCAGGCTCCCGTGGATCGTGATAGCGCTTGTTCCGATCTTCTGATAGCAGCCCAGTACTTTTTACATTCCCATGGTCGGGGAGCTTTCCGGGAGAATCCGCGCAACAGTCTGCATTGGGCCGACCCTTGTGAGCAGTTAGTCGCTTCGGACCCGGTTTGGACCGACTGGGGCCATGATGCATGCTGTTTGCTCGCCAGTCGTCGCAAGAAGCAACGCATTCGATCGAACGTGTCCACCTTTGCCAATCTACCGCCTTTGGTGCGCGCTCACGTTCATCATGAGCATGAGTGCATCATGAGTGGAAACCCCAGCGTCAAAGCCGATGGCTCCCTGGTACCCCAGCAAGGAGGAGGCGGAGTATCCAGCCCACCTGTGTTTCACACTTGTGGTCGCAGCCAGTCATTGGGCTGCGCAGCAAGGTTTCGCTGCTTTGAAGACCCAGCGATTGCCGCCCATGCAGTGCGCCGGAGACTGGAGACCTCTTTTGAAGTTAGATTGCCGAGTGTCCCGTGACTGGCCGCTCCCAGCCGTGGCTGCTTTCTTGGGACTACCGGCTTTTCGAAGAGTCCCGTGCGAGCGCACGTGCTCGACGTCTGTGGTCCCCTTCAAGCGGTCTCCCATCCGATGTCGAGTATATAGGTCATGGCCATTTCTCTCACAGACAGCAGGGCTCTGGAATGCCCGTTTCGAGTAGGCCGGGATGGTACTTCCAGGAGGTCACGTTCAAATTCCTCCTTTGGTTACAGAGGAGCCCACTTGCCTGAGCTGTCGTCTAAGCGTCTGGCCTGTGATTGTCCACCGCGGGAGTTCTGTCATGGTGACGTGCTGGTTGGCATCGCAGTCGAGCGCCGGAAGTTCGGCCCTCATCGAGTCGTCGCGGCGCCGGCCGACTTTTGTCGTGGTCGGTCTCAGGCTGCCAGGGGCCGTTGCCCAGCCAGTGTCTCAAGCCCACATCGTCAAGTCAGCCGCCAATCCTTTCCCCGAGGTACGATTGGGAGTGGCCCATCATCGAGGATTTGGTCAACGATCCCGCGCTGCGTGGATTTCCTTTCGGTATTAGCAAGGTTTGCAGCTGGATGAGCAAGGGACCTGAGCGCATCCTAGGTGTGCGTCAGCCCAGCACGCCCTGGCCGTGTTTGAAGAGCTTGCCCATCGTCTGGAGCCAGTCAGCGTTTCTTCGTGGGCGCCAACGTCCGGATGTGTCGCGTGTGAACCCGCAAGTTCACCTTGCTCTCATCGCTGTCCATTGTAGTCTAGTTTTCGTGGCCGGATACTTCTTTTGTTGGTGGCCTTTTCTCCGGCTTTCCAGCAGTGGGATTTCTCCGGCCCCGAAACCTGCTGAGTTTCAGACCCTGAACCGTACTGCACAACGATGGCCGCCGGCATTGCAGCGCCTCTCCTGCTGGTACAACGAGGAGTTTGCCAAACGATGGGCCCACTCACCACGCTCAGCTTGGTCCAGGGTCTCCACATGCTGCAAGCGCTGACGCTCAGGCATGCGCAACACCAGCCCCTCAGCCCGACAGATGTACTTCATCAGGAGATCATAGGGAACGGACACATAACTGGTATAGAAGACGAGGTCAACGACTCCGCATTGGCAGACCCAGCCAGGCCGAGGGCAAGAAAGTACAACTTGAGCTGACTCAAGTAGGTGTACCATGTCCGCTGCACGGACGAATCCTACTCGTCCGGGTCGCCACCGACCCAAAGGCCTGGCCCACTCGCCGGCGCGGCCTGTGACAGCCGCTAGGTGGCAATAGATCTGACTTGCCAAACATCCATCACCTCCAGGGATCGCTTCTGCAAAGCTCGCCGCGCCTTGGTCAACAGGCGGTCGCCCGGCGTGAACTCCGACAGAAAGACCAGGTGATAGCGTTGTTGAATTTCATAAATCACGCCTTATATCTGGGATAAATATACAGATTAAAAAAGTTTGGGGATAGGGTCGCTAAAAATTACAGAGCCTCTTCCAAAAGGATATGACAACTGCGCGTCACCAGCCTTGCGAAACCGACGCCAGCAGTTAGAACGTGTTCGTCCCAGACTCCACGAGCAGAAGTTGCTATGTTTTTGGGGAAAGAACTAAAACTCCACAACCATGGCACACCTAATGGAACAAATTATAAAGTTTTTCAAACAATCTTATAACTCGGAAAGTGTGTGACGCCCTTGTCAAAAATAGTTGTGACTGTCTTTGAAAAAATTATAATTCCAAAGCCGTGGGACACCAAATGGAAAAAGTTAGTTTTTTCCAAGGAAACTATAACTCGGAATGTGTGCGACGTCCTTGTCAAAAATAGTTATGATTTTATTGAAAAACCTATAACTCCAAATCCGTGGGGCACCTAATGGAAAAAGTTAGCGTTTTCCAAAAAAAAACTATACCTCGGAAAGTGTGTGACGTCCTTGTCGAAAATAGTTGTGATTTTTTAAAAAAGCTATAACTCCAAATCCGTGGGGCGCCTAATGGAAAAAGTTAAAGTTTTTTCAAACAAGAACTATGACTCGGAAAGTGTGTGACGTCCTTGTCGGAAATAGTTATGTTTTTTTGAAAAACTACAACTCCACATCCGTGGGGCACCTAATGGAAAACAGTTATAGTTTTTTCTCAAAAAACCATAACTCGGAAAGCGTGCGACGTCATTGTCGAAAATAGTTACTATAACTCCAAATCCGTGGGGCGCCTAATGGAAAAAAGTTATAGTTAAAAAAACCTATATCTCGGAAAGTGTGCGACGTCCTTGTCGATCATAGTTATGATTTTTTGAACAAATTTATAACTCCAAGTCCGTGGGGCACCTATTGGAAAAAGTTATAGTTTTAAAAAACAGAAATCTTATAACTCGGAAAGTGTGCGACGTCACTTCCAGAACCGATTACGTTTTCTTGAGAACACGCCTCGCCGTTGCATTGTTCGGAGCAACTGCGCAAATCGTGGAAGCTATGATCATCCCTCTAAAAAGTTATACATTTTCGCGCAAACAAATATAACTTATGATTCGCTGAGGCGTGTATTGACGCCTTCCATTTTCCAAGGAAATACTAGAGATTTACTTGAGACAGCTACGTGACAATGTGTGATCAATATGCGCAGGCGCCAACTAACAAGAGACAAAAACAGGCAAAATGTGTTGGGTTGTCTGCGTGCCCAGGTGAATCATAAGTTGAAAAATACGTTGGAAAACTTTTTTCAATTGGGCGTCCCACGAATTGGAGTTATAGTTTTTAAAAGACATAACTATTTTCGACAAGGACGTCACACACTTTCTGAGTTATAGTCTTTCTTGAAAAAACCTATAACTTTTTTCCATAAGGTGTCCCACGGATTTGGAGTTATAGCTTTTTTACTCACTTTCCGAGTTATAGTTTCTTGAAAAAAATACAACTTTTTCCAATAGGTGTCCCACGGATTTGGAGTTATGGTTTTTCAAAAAAACATAACTATGTTCGCCCACACTTTCCGAGTTATAGTTTTTTGGAAAAAACTATAGCTTTTTCCATTAGGTGCCCCACGGATTTGGAGTTATAGTTTTGTTAAAAAAACATACCCATTTTCGACAAGGACGTCACACACTTTCCGAGTTATGGTTTTTTGAAAAAAAACTACCCAATATAACTCTTTTCCATTAGGCGTCCCACGGATTTGGAGTTATAGCTTTAAAAAACATAACTATGTTTGACAAGGACGTCACACACTTTCCGAGTTATAGTTTTCTTGGAAAAACTATAGTTTTTTCCACTTGGTGTCCCACGGATTTGGAGTTATAGTTTAGATCAAAAATTCCAAACTATTTTCGACAAGGAAGTCACACAGGTTGCGAGTTGTAAAATAGAAAAGAAACAATATAGTTGAGAGTCAGGAAGACAGCCAGAGGCTTGTTTAGTTGTGTATTTTTTTATGATTTTTTGTAAAAATTTTATGAAAACTGATTGGTCCTCAATTTTTGGAGATTTCGTTTTTTTGAGCTTTTTATGATGTTTGCTTTTTTTGATTTTTATGAATTATTTTATGATGTGTTTTATGACTTTCCTTTTTTTATGGATTTCCACCAAATCAGAAATTCGACAAAATTCGTGAAATTTTCATAAAAAGTTCATTTTAATAAAATCATAACTTTTTCATAAAATAGCTATAATTGTTCATTAACTTTTCATAAATTGTATGTCTTTAATCGTAACAATACAATTTAGAAATAATAGATTTTATGAAAATTTTGTGATGTTTCAATGAAATTTTCTGATGTTTTAATGATTTTCTTATAAGAATATTAACATTTGTTGAGCACATCAATAGTTTGGTAAATTTTTCATAAAGCAGAAACCAAACATTTTTGTTCATAAATGCGTTTCGTAAAAATTTCATAAATAAATCAGAAAAATTTCATAAACCATCTTTCCTAGCCTCTCCCCAACTCACAACAATATAGCTTTTTCCATTACGCGCCCCACGGATTTGGAGTTTTAGTTCTTTTCCAAAACACATGGCAATTTCTGCTTGTGGAGTTTGGGACGAAAACGTTCCAACTGCTGGTGTCGTTTTCGCAAGGCTGGTGGCGCACAGTCATCATATCCTCTTGGAAAAGACTCTATCGCGTTTAGCAACCCTACCCCAGGCCCCAGAACTTATGTAATTTTGTATTACTATCCCAGATATGAAGCATAATATACAACACCTGGCGTTGTTTTGCAGCAAATTTTTTGAACCAAACATGCGGAATCCCCCAGCACTGCTTGAGCTGATCAACTCTTTTACTTGGGCTTTGCTCTTCCCATAGCACTTTGCATCCAGCATTGGAAGCACAGTTCTTTGATCCACCAAAAAGCTACCCCCTACCTTCTACAGGTGATGTTGAACGCAGTCCGCATTGCTGAATACTTATGAAATATTTCTGCCAAAAGCGCACCTTATTTATGAAATTTAGTAGATAGCGTGCCCAGAAAAGCTCGCGAATACCCGCAAGCTGGGCGGCGCTCATCCTCGTCCAAAGTCAGCGGCGCAGAGGACGCTGCTGCTCAGCGGCCACAGTAGCCTGTCCACGTCCCGAATGGGTGTGATGAAAGCTGCCTCCAACTCGTCAACTTTGGTGACAAATTGGCGGAACTCGGTCAAATTGGCGAGCCCAAGAGCCAGGATCTGGTCGCGAACTCCATCCATCAGCCAACTGAAAGCGGGCACACAGGTCCGTGAAGATGGAGTGGGGCCATGGCAAGAACAGACAACACCACAGTCGACTTGCTTGAACCGCTAAGATGCACTGCTATCGAGGGGACAGACTGCGCAGACGCTACCTGTAGAAGGGCAATATGACTGCACTCGAAACTATGGACCTCGGCGGAATCATTGACTGAACAATTATCCACGACGATCAGCGGACTTTTCATACGAGGCCGTTCAACCAAAAATCCAGGCCCGGTCTAAGCCACAAGGCCGTCACTGATCGCGACTCGACCCTGCAACACCCGGATCACGGGAACTCGGCCCGAAGCCCTCACGTGCATTCTCCATCTGCACGGAATCCGCCTCGTGCAGAATCAGCGTGAAAAAGGCGATGAACACGCCTGACACGGCAGAGAGCTCCCACGAATGGACCTTCTCGAACAGGTGTCGCACACCCACAGCTTGGCCGCACCAACGAAGCCCCTGCTCAGCCGTCCACCTGAGAGGTGATATCTTGGGAAGTAGCCTGGCATCCTGGCTGAGCTCCCAACAGCTCCGTGCCCCGCAACACGCCAAGCTCGAACCAGGCCAAGAGGTCCTCTTTGCCGGGATCATCGAACGGGGCCGTAGCGAACCATGTCTTTGGCAGCGGCCATAGCAGCGATCCAACTCCTCAGCCAGTCAAGCTGGGGCGGGCCCTCAAAGCCTGGTGCAGGGCGTGAAACTCGCGCTGGAGGAGAGCAGCCACCGCCATGGAAGTGAAGATCACGAGCTCGGAGCCAAATCTCGAAAGCTTGAGCTCAAACACGCTGGGGACAAGGCTGACGCAATCCCGAACCCTGCATTGGGCTACCCCACCAACTCGGGGGCACTCCCCGGCAAAGCCTGTGCCCAGGCATGGTCCTGCACATAGACTCAAAGGCGTCGACCCGGGCGACACCCTGAAAAAGACGCTACAGGGCTGAGGTCCAGTAGCGGGAACAGCATTCGTAACCATAGCAGTGAACTGCACGTTGATCTCCAACCATTGGGCTCCGCCGGCCACCCCGGCATAACTGTATGGCGAACATGGGCATGGATCTCCTCGGCGAGGCCCGGCAACACATCATCCCATTGATTGGGACCGTGGTCATAGAGCAACACCCTAAGGCAGAGCCCCAGTTCGCGCCGCAGAACTGTAGCCTGGACCAGCTTCTGCCAAAAATACCTGTGAGGCATGTTGTTCCCCCCAAGCTCGGAAGAATCCAGCCAGTTACCGATCGCACAGGTCTCGGTAGAAGAGAGCTTGGCCTGAAAGCCCCAGGCCACGGCCACATGCCGCCATGATTTTGCTGAAACCAAAGCTAAGTCGGCGGGGGCAAGCAAGTCACTCATCTGCTGCACTTTGCTCCGAGAAACCGGACCAGTCTTGCCCAGTGCGAACATGGAAGCAAACACTCGAACGGTCGGTCGGCCAAGCCAAAATCTCAGCTAAGAAGGCACCGCCAAAAGGGTCTTGTCCGTAGCTCGCAGCAGCCGCGACCGCAGAAAGTGCGTCCATCGGACACACCCCATCGCCATGGCCCACGGGCCAAACAGCGCCAGTCATTCAGGATCCCGGTGGTCAAGAGCAGCTCGCATGGCCTGCTCCAATGGAGCCAGCATCGCCGGCTGCGCGACAGCAGCCTGCTAGGCACCAATACCCAGGGCTGACTTGGAGGCAGCACGCACCCTTCACGTACTGCAGCGCGGGCAAATGCCTGGAAGGCGCTGAACAGGTCTGAATGAGGCGGGACTCCGGCTCATGGGAGGACAACAACTTGGCGACCAACGGATCAACCATAGTGCGGCTCTTGGCCAAGTCATCACGATAAGTGCTGGCCTGGAAGAACACGGCCTCCAACGTTGTCTTGAACTCCGCATTGCGCACTGGCAACAGGACGGACGCACCGCCGGCATCCCCAACGCCTTGAGCGAAGGAGAAGGAGCTCACCATGGTGGGCCATCACGACCCTGACGTCTCCTCGAGCCCTCGCCCACAATGGCACGGCACTCGAGCCAGGCGTGAGCAACCGCTAAACCACCCTCCCCAACTGCCTCGGCGAAGTCCAGGAAGTAGAAGGCGAAATCAGCATCAGCTTGAAGCCCATTACGCTCCCTGAAGCTCTCCACCGCCATGGGCAGAAAAGGACCCCTGGCAACTCCAGGAAAAGAAATTCACCTGAAGCCGTTTTGGGTCACTTGAGCATACGTGGCAGCGGCGGCACATGTATGTGCAAGATGCCACAACTCAAGTGAGATCCACTGACATGAATGATTATGTGTCCACCACACCTGCCCTACAAGCACAAGACACTACAATTTATGAATGAATTCAAGACTGGAACAAGCTGACAAGGAACACCAAATATCAAGCCTTCAGCTCCAGCTCCAGCCGGCTCCTCCTGGAAATCAAGCTGGCAAGCGGAAAGGACAATGTGTTTACCTGGAAAGAGGAAGTGACTATTGCCAAAAAAATGAAGTTAAGGGTCTCTTCAGTATGACAAATCCTAAAGCTTAGCAGCGCTGGTCGGACGAAATGCATGCTTTGCATTGCTTTGCTGGCTTGCTCTGCAGTGAGCCTCGCCCATAATGGCCTGGGCCTGTCAGGTGCTGCAATTGCGCTCGCTTTTGCATTCATTGGGTTCTTGCAATTGGAACCTAATAGCGATGGCCTCCAACCTATAGTGCTTGGGCAAAAAAACCGTCCTCGAACCCAAGTGGAGCATTGCATTCTCACCAAATGGGCTAGTTGCTAGTGATCTATGCAGTCAAGTCAAAGACAGCATTGGACATCCGCCCCCCTGCCAGCCCACCTGATTTCCATCTGCAAAGCCCATGAGACCTTGAGACAATGAAGCAATTCAAAGCACTTGCGAACCCCTGGAAGCGCTTGCAACATCATCTCAACTTGAGATTGCAACCCAATTGTTGCTGCAGCTGCGCAATTTTTTGCTGCAGCTGCACCGCCTGTTTGCCTGCAATTTGCACAATTCAAGCGGGATTGGTTCGTCTTCGGAATGGAGAGCTGAAAACAATACGAAGAGTGAAACTCATATCTCTTTAATTTCGGCCACCAAGAAACTCAGCGCATTGATGTTCATCGGCAGCTGTGCAGGGGTCCTGCAAATGCGCTGCAAAGATCATGCTAATCATATCGTGGAGTGTGAAGCAGACCCAGGCATCAAATCAAATGAACTGAAGTCCTTGGCATTTGAGGTGTGTTAGGAGGCAGAGGTGGCGGCGGTGGTGGTGACATGAGAACGTTCGCCTCTCATCAGAGACCGTCCCTGTTCTCTTTCAATCCAGTTGTTCGTCTCACTACAGGCTGCAGGTGCCGCTCAGCTCAAGCACTCTCTTGAAGGTGCGTCACATCCTTGCCTGGGACTGCATCACCTGCTGCTGCAATTGCTGCTGTTGGAGCTGAAGCTGCTGCTGTAGTTGAGCGAGTCCTGTCCTTGGTTAGAACACACCCTCTTAGCCAAGCACTAGGGAATGGAACTCAAGAAAGCAACGGACAAATGCTCTCAAATAGTTACAGCAGCTGATTTCAATTTGAGCGCATGGCTGGATGCCACTGATGCTGCCGTCTTGCAGGCCACATCCTCCACATCCCCCACATCCACTGTACTGACCACATCCGCCACACCCGCAATGTCCACCAGGGCCACAGCCACAGCCACATCCGCCACACCCACCACAGCCGCAAGGATTGTTCTGGCACTGGCCACCACAACAGCCACAGCCACCGCACCCACAGCCACCACAACCTCCGCAACCGCTGCACCCGCAGCCGCCGCATCCGCCACAACCACTGCTACGGCAGCCGCAGCCACAGCCGCTGCCACAGCCACCGCCACAGCCACCTCCGCAGCCCTGGCAACCAGGTCCGCCTGGAAGCCTCAAGATACTCAGCTGGTCAGTCACATACCGGCCAGCTGGGCGTCGAAGGCTCTAAGGTCTCAACGGCATGCCCATTGCTCTTGCGAGCTGTCCCTGCATCAACCTTTGCAGTTGGTTTGTTGCCAAAACGTCTCAAAGAACAAGAAAGAAGAATCTCTTGTTGTTGACCTGCCTTCCTGGATGTCAAACAAAAACAATCACTTGGACTTGGACATCAACCAAGGTTTTGTGTGATTGGATCCAAAACTTGGGGCCAAACAGATTGTCTACCTCTGCTTGATTCGGAGCCTCGCTGTTCAAGAAATGTTGACTGTCAGTATGTCACAACTCTAAAAAATAAGGTCTAAAAGCAGAATGCGAGTGGAGACTCATCATTCCAAACCGAATCATCAATGCAAGGAAATGCTTCCGAAACCAAAACAGTCCCTTGCTGCGCTGCTAACCTGTGCACATGCTGCGGAATCAGGCGCATTCGACCTGAGCTCGCTCCATGCTTTGGCAGCTTAAGAACTGATAGTGGTGGGCATTGAGGGCATCACGGGTCCATGCCCAAGAAAGGTGTCGTTTGCCCTTGCATCCCCTGCCAAGGAACCAGCTAGAGATGCAGCCCTTCTGGCTGCAAATAATGTCATTAACTTCAACGTGAAACAAATCCCGAATTGTGACCCACACAGTCCGTCCAGCCTTCCACGGGGCACGCACTGCACCTTGACCGGCCTGAGGAGAAAAAACGATGGGAACTAACCCATGTCTTGTTGTGTCTCCTGGTTCATCTTACACCACCAACACAAAATAAGGTTCACGCGTCGGCGTCAGCACCTTGCTGCGCGGACACCTGTGTCCTTAAGAACCACAGAACCGTCAGAAATGAAAAAATACAAAGAAAAAAATGAAATTGTTACTAATAGCGATGCCCAATTGTTACTAATAGCGCTGCCCTTGTTACTAGTGGCGATGCCCTTGTCTGCTACGGAGACGAGGCCTTGACCCTGCCCACCCACCTGGAGCTGGCGGGTCCTTGTCGGAAAAAGTTGAAAGGCTTTGAAACGCGTGTGCCAAAATGACAAGCTGAAAAATTGGAAGTTCACAAACAGGTGAAATTGGAACTCTTGTGAACGAATCTCCTGAAAGTTCGGAGGCGGCAGCAGGTTAGGAGACTTAGACGGAGGTGTGGTGCCTGCGACGTGCAGCAATGCACACATTGAATGAGTTTTGATTCTAGTCTAGATCTTTCTGGTTGCAGTTCCATATAATTCTTAATATGTCAGGGCTGCGATTTGGATGTTAAAGGATGTAGACAATGTAGACTTCAACGTAGACTTCAAAACTGCAAAACGAAGGTCTTGCATCTTTGAAGAATGTCACAACCAGTTTTGGACTGCTAGGAACCCAGCCAGCGGCAGGCATGTTTGGGCCTGCATCTGAGCCAGTTGACCCCAGTTTTTTCCTCCCTGATCTCTCCGCTTTGTCAGTTCTTGTCCCATTTCAATGGCCTGTGTGTCATGGTGGTTTTCTTGTCTGCTCACACCGAGCTGTGCTCAAAAAAGAATACGCATTCCCAGATAGACTGACCGGAACGTACAAAGTTTTCCTAATCTGCAACTGCAGTTGAGCAAACAGTTGTAAACCCCTTTCTTTGGTTATCCACAAATATTTGTAGGGCTGCGCAAAAGTTGCATTTCAGAGTTTGCATGTATCACAGGGCCTCACTCTGATGCACAACATTTCTTTACACACCATACCAATACATTCTAATATACAAATATACAATTATACACATACATACATACATACATACATACATACGTACACACAAACATACATACCATACCACACCATACCATGCCATGCGACGCCATACAGTACAATAGCATGACATTACATTACATTACACATACATACATCCATACATACATGCATGCATGCATACATATGTACATGCATACATACGCGCATACACACATACATTCCATATACATACATAACGTACATATATATACATACATACATACATACATAGATGCATACATACATACATACATACAGTACAGTACAGTACAGTACATTACATTACACTACACTACACTACATACAAGAACGAATTAGGATATATATATATGTGTGTAATACATACAAGACACGACAACACAAAACAAAACAATTACAACTACAGTCGCAATACAATACATTATATATATACTTACATACATACATGCATACATACATAAACAGACATACACATACCATATGGTACATTTACATACCATTACGTACCAATACCATTACAGACCATTATATACATCACATTACATTGCTTTGCAATACAATGCATTGCAACACACTACACTACATCACAATACATTACAACACATTACAATACATTTCTCTGTATTGCATTACATCTCTCTACACTACACTACAATAGTGACAATAGTGTGCCACCAGTGCTCAAACACGTTCGCACGGTTTGAGCGGACGAGCCCCTTGATTTTCGCGCGTGCCTCCACCCGCGCTGTCATACTTTCACGTGTATGTGCTCCATTACAAGATCACCTTGGCTGCCCTGGCTCCACCTCTACCTGCACAGCGCTGGACTCCGGTCCGAAGTCCGGAGAGCAGCTGTTGGCGCGAGGGCTGGAACAAGCCCGGACTTGTTCCCTTCTTTTGATCTTGATTGGCGCAAACTGTTCCGGACTTCAGCCACTCAGCCCATCAGGATAGCTCACTTTCGCAAAGCTCTCTCGCAAACTCAGGCCAATGGTTTTTGCTGGCACCATGGTCATTTCCACACGCTCCAATCACTGGGCGCAGCCCCCCCGCCTGTGAGGCCGCCGTCCCAAAGATCTCAGGTGGGGCCGGATTGCAGGGCGTTAAACGCGCGCTCGACTCCAGGCCTCTTGGCCTGGTACTGGTTTATCAACACGCTGACACTCGATAGCTAGCCTCCTTCGCGCAGCCAGGCGCAATTCTCTTTTGCGTTTGGAGATTTCACGCTGACCTGCGTCCCGCGCCTGCCCAGGCTACATTACATGATCTTCGATCGCGAACGGGACTTCAAGCCCGGGGCCCTGCTCATCAGGACTCCAATCACCTACTCAATCTCGTCGAGACCTGTAAACTCCGTGCCTTGAATTGCCATGATCCTGCACAAGGCCCCCTCTGTCACTGACCGGTGCGAGTCCAGAACCGACTTTGCGTTAACCTGCTCAGTTCTGCCAACCACGAAAGGCCCGTTGGCACTGTCAATGCCACCATTTGGGAATCTGCCACCTTCGATCAGGACTCTGACCCATGCCTGTCTGCATCAGAACTTTAGGCATCACTTCCGACATTTTTTGTTCAGGATCCTGCACCCATCTGGGAACCAATGGCAACATCACAAACACTCAAAACAGAAGGACCGTGTCCATGACCTCATGCAGGAGGCAGCCTTTGCAGCCCAGGCTCACGACACTCTTCAAGTCTTGAACATAATCAACCGTCTTGCACCCAAGTCAGTCAAGAAACGCATTCATCTTCAAAGCACAGACGGTCACACGCTTCGCCCTGTTGAGGCCCACCCGGGCCTTCTTCAGCAAATGGAGATCCTCACAGGCCCAGCAATGTGCCACGGGGTTCACACTTCCGACAGTGGTGCTGCACACGCACCACTGTATTTTGACTAGATCGGATCTCACTTCAGCAGACTGCGGGAGACTGCTCCTCATGGCTGCGTGATCCTGAGTCAACGTACTGGTACCATGCCGACGACAACCAGGAGCTGACTTTGCCGGCTTCGGTGTTTCAAGACGCTGCCATCTTGTTTTTGCCTTGTGACAACCCAGACACCGAAGATCTGACAGATCAGGCGTTGGGAAACTTCCTTTCCATGCTGATGGGCTGAAAGCCCCACGGATCACAATGCGGATTGGCTGCGCAATAGACCGCAATGTCTGGCGTGCCGAAAGGTCGAAAAAAGGTCACTACACTACACTACACTACGTACATACATGTACATATATAGCAAATACAGTACTTGTTTCTCACATTAAGCCATCACTGGCAAGCCGATCTGTATAAATGATTCCGCTTGTCCACCTGCGCAATATCTTCTTACCTCCAGCCGAATGGTTGATGCCTGCCGAGCAGCTCATACACACATAAAGAATCAAGTCATGTCTCTTGGGGCTCTAGAGACAGGAGAACTTCACATTAGCAAAGCAAAGCGTTTTGAAGGCACGAGCCTTCGGGCCAAGTTGTGATTTGACAGTATGCAGATTCAGCACAACTCCTTTTTGCACAACACAAGGGACTTTATGCTGTAAGGCCTCCATGACCTTTCCAGCTATCGCTGGCATGTGGTGGGCCAAGAGGCTATCAGCCTGTGGGTGTCGTGTTCATCCAGTTCAACTGCATAGAAGATTGAAAGTGCTCGATTCTGAAGTCCAAAGCTATGCACCTTTGCAGAAACCATACACAATACACCTTTATAGAACCATTGATTCCTGAATGCCATCCAAGTGGCCGGGACTCCATTGACCTTCACCACCAAGTCACCTTCTTGTATTCTATAGCCCTCTGGGCTTTTCCTTGAAGTCAGACAAATCAGTCTCATTCGCAATGCTGTCCAAGTCAATCTGTGAGTTGGTTGTCCGTTTGAGGGCATTGCTTGTTGTAGGTATCCACTGCCCCTCCTTCTGCCACCTGGCCAGCAAAATGCAAATCTTGCAAGCCTTTCAAAGAAGAACCAACTAAACCTGAGGAAAGCTGGCACCTTCTCAACTACAAGTCCTTCACGGTCAGGTGTGTTGACCTTTGGGTGGGGAAACGCTCAGTGAGTCACTCCTGACCTACCAAGCTTATCCCTGAGTCTCCAGCCAGGGACAATTGTATTCCCAGCGGGGAGCTCGCTGGTTTTGGAAACTCCGCCTCACCGCGAACCAAATCGCACATCTGGGGTGTACTCAAGCGTCAGCTTCAAGTATATGGGTTTGAATCAATACAATACTGCCCCAATTGGACTCCAGCGCTGCGCCCGCTGGTGGGAAATGGAATGGTGCAGCTCGATTCACTTGGGGGCAAATCAACGAATCAACTGAGCATCATTAAGACAACACAAGAAGGCTCGGCTCCTGCCAACCCGCCAACCCTTTTTGCAAAATGTTTCGAAACAAAGACTTCAACTGAGCTCCTTCTGAGCTCTCGAAATCGCGAATCCCTGTGTCATGCTGCCATGCTTGAGGTCCGCTGTGCCTCGAAAGTGTGGATCATCGGACCTGAGAAGCTTGACAGTAACCAGCTCGCGCTCAACAACCGGGTTTGACTCAATGCCAAACCACCAAGAGAAAAAGTGGGTCTGCCAGGCCTGCCGTTTTATATCAAAAGATATTTGTCATTACCATGACAGCGTGGACAACATCATGTCCGTCAAATCCCGAAACAAGGTTTGCTTCAGCAAAGCTGGCTTGAGTTCCTGGCGTTTGGCCCGTTAGAAAAGCTATACCAGCTAAAACTCGTGGAGGCAGCGATGAAACGAATTTAGTGGCGAACGTGCAAGGCCAAACTGCTTCTGCTACTGCTATTGTGAGGATGAGCGCAGTGCTAGAGTTGAAGGTAGCTATATAGCTTGCTGACTTCCTTCAAATTGGCCTCACGCACGCCCGAAAGCGATTTGGAGCCTTGAGCCAGAGCATGCGACGTGGGGGTGTCAAGTAAGCCTGGAAGCACATTCGCAACCAGAAGGAGACGGTCAGTCCATCAAACTTCTCAGTAATAGAAGTAGGAAGCGACGAGCTACCACGCAGGCGCCACCCAGTGCACTTTCAAGGTGAAATAAGTTTTGAGCTGAGCAAAGGAAGCTGAATGTCATGACAGAATGTGTGAACGTCAACTTAGCAGGCAGTAACACCTGAAAGAGACTCCAAACCCTGCACGCAAAATGTTTGTGGAAGATGTCTTGACACTGCCGTTTGACTGGACTCAGCATGCTTAAGTAATTCCCGCCTCGATAAAATTGTAAATCGCACGCAGCTGTTCAAGGCTCGCCTCAAGCGAAATCTTGATGGTCTTGTGACTAGGCTGAGTTGCAGAGTCCTGTCTTCTTGCTTCTTACTTACTTTCGGCATGGAAAACTACAAAAGATTAAAAAGTAGTAATCCGCCGACCCCACACCGTGGGGTGAGGCGTGACTGTCGATGTTAGCCTTAGCCTTAAGCCTTAGCCTTAGCCTTAATCCTTAGCCTTAGCCTTAGACTTAAGCCTTAGCCTTAGCCTTAGGCTTAGACCGTAGCCTTAGCCTTAGACCTTACCTCCCCTACCCCTCCGGACCTTTGTTGCGGTGACGAAATCCCGACCTAAAAGCGACGTGATAGCTACGGGATTTGACGGGATTGCGACCTGAAAGCGACCTGAAAGCGACCTGAAAGCGACCTGATTGCGACCTGATGGCGACCTGGATTGTCCAAGATTCTGCCATCCCAATTGATTTACATCTTGGGGCACCCTCTCCACCCGCGCGGGAAAATAAGCACGGTCCAAAATGGTCCTGGGCTCGAATCCCGGGCTGGTCGCGGCGTGGTCCCGGCCAACGCCCTTGCTTTTTTGTAGATTTTGTCACGTTTTCTGTTGGTTTACGAGATTTTCAAAGGCTTTTCTAGCATTTTCCTAGGAATGCTCTAGGCTTTGTCTAGATTTTGTTATGTTTTCGGCTGGACGCTTTTCCAAGAATTTTCTAGCGCTTCCTCTTGTTTTTAGGTTCCCAGATTTT